TGTGGTGAATAACATTTATTGATTTCCATATATTGAACCAGCCTTGCATGGGCCTGTTCCAGGCGCGGACGGCAGCTCTGCTCTGCTCCTACTCCAATTGGGGTGACATGACTACCACGCTGGCGGGTCGCTGGGCCTTTTCCGGGTGTGGGCAGCGGCTCTGCTCTGCCCCTCTGGCTTGATGACAAAGTGAGAGAGACTCGGGTGTATGTGACTCACTTTCTTTACCAGGAGACCAAGTGTTTCTGTCGCCGCTGGTATAGATGAAGTTATCTCCTCCACTGCTTTCTGATGATATCAGATCTCTGCCATGTTGGTATACCATGCAAATTGCAGCATTTCGTTCCCTTTGCTGGGTGACCAAAGCAACGAGTGAGTCCTGACCGGCCCTCACAAGCCCCATCTCAATCCTGTTGCTACTGCCTATGAAGACTCGGTTGGTATTTACCTCCACAGTATTCAGTAGGACCCGGACGGAGAAGCAGTTTCCGCAGGTTCTTTAGCCCTGGGCCAGAGCAGTTCCGGGAGCCGGAATTTGGCCGCTCTGGGCTTGGTGTATGTTCTGATAGGAGCAGGCTCCAAGAAGCAGTTTCCGCAGGTTCTTTAGCACTGAGCCTGAGTAATTTGTCCGTGAGTCGCAGGCGAATGGCAGCCTGAAATTACCTGTTCTATAGCTGAATGAACTGCGCTCAGTCGAAAACGGATGGTGACGTCAGCTCTCCAAGATGGTGGCCACTGGCTTCCTCTATGTTCTGACCGGTGTGGAGAACCAAATTGGACCACTTCCTTCCCCAGTCTCAAACCCAGAATTCAGCACTGAGTACAGTGATTGCACAGGTGGCAGGAGCCCACAGAATCTGCAGCGCTGTATCTTTGCATTGCTATCTCGTCGTTTCCCAGCGCGCACCGCAGACTCTAGCTGAGGGGCGATTTGCTGAATAACCCTCCGTGTGGACAAATCGCTCGCAGTTAAGCCCCCGTAGCTGATCCTCGTGCGATGAAAATCCTTCCTCTAGGTTTTGGAGCACCCCAATTTTGCTGGAAATTCCTAACAAGATAGCTTTTAGGACGAGTTCTAACTCGTCATTCTCCCGCACAGTGATGCGGTACACGGGGGTGATGCACTTCCTTCGCCGCCATCTTCCGGCAACTCATATTAATACATATTGACTAGTCTGAATTCTGACCAAATTTGACATTTTTAGAGAAATAAGAGATGGTCGCAGCTGGATTCAATATAAGTGCCAGTCCTAAATATAATAAGATAGCAAGATACAAATCTTTCATGGGGTCCCTGGACAATCAGTACACAACACTGACTACCTTGTCTCTCTTAGAAAGTGGTTGGAGACTTGTGTCTCAATCATATAAGAATTCTGAGCTGGAGATAAAGATTTGATGGATGCACAGGAGGGGACCTTGGGAAAAACACATTTTATGGGAGGAAGAAGAGAAGCCTGCAGAGCATCTGGAGAAGGAATTGCCAGAGATAAGAGAAGTATGGTGGGAGGTGTGAAGGGAAAGATGTCGACCCTGGAAGGCAGTTGCTCCCAGCTCCCTACAGTTGGCTTGTGAACTTATCATCCACACTCTTCCCTCCTTGGTCTGTATCTGCCTCTGGCCTTTGTCTTTGCTTTAGATTTATATATCCAAGCAGGGCTGAACAAGGAGTCAGGTACTTTAGAGTCTACTTCTCCATAACTGAACTAGAAGTTTCCCTCTCCTCCTACCACAGCTAACCTATTACTTCTCCTGTGTCTTCTGCCTCAGGTAATGACATCATTCAAGCTAGAGTTTATACACTCTAGATTCTTCCCTCACCTTTCCCATCCAGTCACCCCAACTGGTCTTCAAATATTTCCTTTAAATGATTCCTACTATTTACCTCTACTGCATATTGCCACACTATTTTAGGCCTGCATTATTTTTTAAACTGTTTTCCGTATTTGGGGGAATTTTGCCTCTTTCGAATCCAACCTCCTGTCACCTGGTGATTGATTTCTCTAAAATGGAGATCCACTCTCCACCCCACCTTCACTGTGGTGCCACACACATAGGAAAAAGCCCTATGGTACACACAAGGCTCTTCCTGCCCATCTCTTCTCCCCCAGCCTTACTTCCTGACATTTCTCCTACTTTGCATTTAACAATACCACATCAATCTATGTGACATTTAACTGAGCTTATGCTACAGGACTACCTGGCATACATTTCTCTAACATCACCTCCTTCTTTGCCTGATGAATTCTTGCCCTTTAAGATTCTGTTTGGGCTTCATCTCCTTTACAATGTTTTCTCACACTGTCCCTTATTCTGCACACCCTACTCCTTTCCCTTCACCCTTCCCTAGCTCTAGATGTTTTGCTCTGTGTTCCATACTTCCATATATATCCCAATTGATGGACTTTTCTTTCCTTTTTTTTTTTAAAAACCCCAGCACTGAGAACAAACTCAGGTCCTTGTGTGTGCTGGGTAAGTGCTCTGACATTGAGCTAAATCT